GTAGAGACGGGGTTTCACCATGTTGACCAGGATGGTCTCGATCTCTTGACCTCGTGATCCACCCGCCTCGGCCTCCCAAAGTGCTGGGATTACAGGCTTGAGCCACCGCGCCCGGCCTTGAAAAACGTTACTTCTTTTTCTTGCCACTCAAGCAATTACAAGAGGGATTTTCCTAAAGATAACTTATATATTGCAGTATGCATAAGTGCTTTAACTGTTTTTCCTATATGTTCATATAGAAAATTAAAGACATTGTATTTAACGATTGAGATTTAACAAAATTAATAATTTTTACCATTGCATCCAGGATTTTTTAAGTGATACTGATTTTTTTTTCCTACAAGTGCATGCATACCCAGGAAGTGTCTCTTGTAGCTCCAGGGTTTTGTAGAACACATTTTGAGAACTCAAAAATTGTTGAGTTCTGCTCTAGAAAAATAGTTTACTATAAAGTAAATTATGCTCATGCACTTTTGCTTCTGTAAATTGAGTTGTAAATGTACCTAGAGTCAATGGTGTTGATTACTGAATCTTTTTATGGCAGTTCTATTGTTATTTTCTTTGGGTAAGTTAATGAAGTATTCACAGAGTGATGAAATATGAGTGAACAAAGAAAGTCAGTGTTTCTATGAAAATTAAGTTAAATTTGTAAAAGAGAATTAATAAAGGAGAACCATTAAAATCTATGATTGCTGAATTCTATGCAGAGGAAACAACTTCGACCAGAAAAATAATTATAAAAATCCAAAATAATTTTCTATTGAAGTTGTTCTTTGACTCTAAGTAATTGCTCCACATTTAAGAAAGTAGAATAGGAAATTAAAGATAATTACCTATATATTTATTTTATACCAGAAAGATGACACAAAATTGTTATCAACTGACCCTTCATCCAGTAGCAAAGCCTTTATTCTAATATCAAAACTTTGGCTAGTGAGAGGCTATTTAGTTATGTTTAGTTTAAAAATAAATGATTTTTAAGATATCTGTCTTATTTGTAACTCCCAAATCTAACTTTTTTAATCAACAAAGCTATCACCTTTTATATTTTATCAAGTAAGCGATAAAAGAATCTGGAACTAATATTTGAAAAGGTCTCTACTTGAGCAGTTGTAAGGTGCTAAGAGAAAACTGAATTGAAGCCATATTAAGCTCTAAATTTTATTTCAGAATGCCTGTCATATAGTAATTAAATTGAGATTGCAGTGGAAAAGCTTTAGGATATGTTTCATTTTTGTTAAAAAAGAAAACCACCACAAAGTAAAAATATGTTTATGAATCTCAAGCCTCTAAAGATAAAGAGAGAAAAAAGAGACTCAAAAATGGCTCAAATACTTCCAATAAATGAAGGGAAAGAATTCTAAAAGAAAAAGATATAGTTAATATAAACCTAAAATAACATAGAAGAAGGCATTACTATCACTCGGATAGTTCAAATTTTTCTGATTAAAAGGCAAAGTCTCAAAAATGAATTAAAATAAATTTATAAGTTAGAGACATGACTAAAATAAAATTACCTCATTTATAACAGAAATATGTGTGTTATCTATTTCAGCCCACAGAGAAAGTATAATAAGCTCCTGGTAATTTTTTTTCCAGAACAAGGGAAAGGGAAAAATTTTTCTTTTCTCTTTTATTTTTTAGAGTTTCATACAATTTGGATACATCCCATGAGAATATATTCCTACAATGTAATTTGAAAAAAATATATATGGGAATATGACTCTTTCGACATCTGTTATTACCCCAAATCTGATAATTATGGTGCCAGACTCCACTATACACACACACACAAACACACAAACACACACACACAAGACCATACACAATGATGCAAAGGTAAGGAAAGCTAAGAACTAGTTTTTGAAAGCAGTAAAATTGTAAAAGATGTAGCAAATAAAAATATGGGATATCCAGTTGTATTTCAAAATCATAAATATTTTCAGTATATGCTTTATGTGGTACTTTATACATGGTTATATTAAATGTGTGTGTGTGTATGTATACATATATATATATATATATATATATGAAAAGCATATATATATAAGGTATATATATACATGAAATACCTTAATACTGTTTAGGGGGTGTGTGTATGTGTGTGTGTGTGTGTATATATATATATATATATATTTATAAATAGTATTAAGGTATTTCATTATATATATATATATATAGACCTTACATAGATATGTGGATATATAGAGAGAGACATATACACATCTATATGGTATAAAGGTGTGTGTATGTGTACAAAAATATACAAAGAAACAGGTGGAAATAAATTTTAATACTACTGTATATGTGTACATACATGTATACACACATCTTTAGTATAAATATGTATAATAAATAATGAAATATATACTAAAACATTCATTGTTTCTCTGTAATTTATATATATACTAGATGTATTAGGGTTCTCTAGAGGGACAGAACTAATAGGATATATGTATATATAAAGGGGAGTTTATTAAGGAGTACTGACTCACACAATCACAAGGTGAGATCTCACAATAGGTCATCTACAAGCTAAGGAGCAAGAAAGCCAGAGTGAGTGTCAAAACCTCAAAAGTAGAGAAGCTGACAATGCAGCCTTCAGTCTGTGGATGAAAGTTCAAGTGTCCCGAAGCTGAAATACTTGGAATCCGACATTTGAGAGCAGGAAGCATCCAACATAAGAGAGAAATGTGGCTGGAAGACTAAGGCAGTCTAGTCCTTCCATGGTTCTCTGCCTGCTTTTATCCCAGCCACTGGCAGCTGTTTAGATGGTGCCCATCCAGACTGAGGATGAGTCTGCCTTTCCCAGTCCAATGACTCAAACGTTAATCTCCTTTGGCAACACACTGACAAACACACCCAGGAAGAATACTTTGCATCCTTCAATCCAATCAAGTTGACACTCAATATTAATCATCACACTAGACATCCAGTATATTATCTGGCAATTCTAGGAGGGAGTATGCGCATAGGTGGATGAAATAAAGTCAGTTCAAGTAAGCAGGCATTAGCCATACATGAGATGAGGTCATTGCACTGGTGTCCGGAGTCCAGTATCAAGACTTCAACATACAGAGAAAAGGAACCTTTGAAAGCAAGATGGGTCACTATTCTTAAATCCCTTCCCATAGCAGGAACAGGAAAACAAAGCTCTTAGCATGGAAAAAAGAGTTTAGTAGAAGGAGATGAAAGGACGGGAACTTGAGTGGATATGATACATTGTGAGGATGGCCCTTGAAGCAGATCTTTGGAAAGGAGGAAGGAGAAATCAGCAGTTTCAAGAACAAGTGAAGAAAAGCAATGGCCATGTCTTTTGTCTAGATTGACCGTGAAAACAACTCAGGGAACAGTATAAGGGCCCTGTAGGTGTCTCTGGGACAAGAATCTAGGTTAGACTAACAGTTGGGATAGGAATAGGCATTGAACACATGTCATGAACACTAACATTCACCATTTTGGCTAGCAGATAGGTATTGGGGTTTTTTAAGTATTAAAAACAACATGTTAAAATAGAAACACAAAGAATTTACTATATAGTACAGTAAATTCTATATAATTATTCTACATAATTCTATATATTTTTAAAATTCATTTTACAGATTAGCGGTCTTTTTGTCTGGCATTGTTGAAAACAAGTAATCCCAAATATTTACTAAATTTTCCATATAAGTAAAATTACCATCTTAAGGACTACAAGTATCTAATTTACTTTGTTTTCTTCTGAAATACCTAGTATGTTTAAGGTCCTTTAAACAATGTGCATTAACATAATTCATCCTTTTCTCAATGACCAAAAGTCACCAAAGATAACAAAATTTAAAGCTGTAAAGGAATTTATGTAGTAGAAGCCCTTCATTTTACAGAAGAATCAGATTGTATTTATAAGAAATATGTTGCCAAATAGTAATTCATTGTGCTCTTCAGTTAATTTGTGCTTGGTAGATCTTTATAGGAAAAAAAAGAGAGAAAGAGAAAGAGAAAAAAAGAAAGAGAAAGAAATATAATTCCAGTGGAAGTTTCTGAAATAGGTATAATTTTTTTGTTTATACTGCTTGTCAACTCTTTGATATAGACACTAATATTCCAACTCTGAAAGAGAAAATACTGGGTTTCAGATCGTTTTAGTTTAATTGGCCTTCCTAAGGTTATCGAGCTAGTAAGTCTCTCTAAAGCTCGTGACATTTTCACCACATCCCAATGCTTTCTTGATACAGGGTCCCCCACACAGACATAATGGTGTCAGTTAGACCACCCAGAAGCATGCTGTCATCAGCTTTGCACTCTGAGATGGCTGGGTAAAACTAACTTTGAAAATGCAAAGTATTATTTGTTAAAATTTATTATGATAATTCTAAAGGTGTCTAATCATTTAATCTTTTTCTAACATATTAATGCACTTAAAAATAACTTCACTATTTGTCATCTATATCTATATATCTGTATTTCCTCTCATATTATACATTTATACACACAAATATATGACACATATATATTTACACACACACACACACTCTCTCTCTCCCTCTCTCTCTCTCTCTCTCTCTCTCTCTCAGCTTACTTTTACTAAACTAAGTTCCAAAAATAAAAGAAAATGAAGTCAGGGAGGAAAACACATACTTTGGGGTATTATGGGAGGATATGATTGTGTTCATTTTTTCTCCTTCAGTGATCACTGTTTGGGGAGCCACAAAATGTTTCAAAAAGATATACCTGTTATTCAACTCCATCTCCAGAAAAGTAGGGAAGCTCCTGGAAAGTTATCTCGAAAGGTAAGACTTCTTTAACATTGTTTTCAGTTACCAAACTGAGAGTTTTAAGGATAGTATTGCTAATTTTTGAATTATTGAATTATTGCCAACTTGGAATTATATAGCTTAATTAATTCATGTTTATTGAAATATATTTATTGAAACATAATGAAATATCTTATCTAAATGCCTGATAATAATTTGGACTGACGCAATAACACGAATGCATTACTGCAACGTTAGTGTTATGGACTGAATGTTTGTGTCCCCTTAAAATTCATAAGTTGAGGTCCCAGGTGATAGTATTAGGAAGTGGGGTCTTTGGGATATATATAGGTTTAGATGAAGTCATGAAAGCAAAGTCCTTATGATGAGGTGGTAAGTGACCTTGTAAGAAGAGTTTAGAACACCGCGCTCTGTCTTTGTCTTTCTCCCTCCCTCTCCCTCTCTTTTTCCAACTCTCTTTTTCTTCCCACTATGTTAGGATACAGCAAGAAGGAAGCTGTCTGCACACAGGAAAAGGGCTCGCTCTGACTCTGATTATAAACTTCGCAGCCTATAGAACTAAGAGAAATAAATGTATGTTGGTTAAGTCACCCAGTCTCTAGAATTTTGTTATAGCAGCCCAGGCTGACTAATACATTGAATATAATAACAAATCAGTTGGTTTCTTTCAAAATCATTTGTAAGAAACTTATTATCATATGTATACCTTTCACATATTTTCTTAGAAGTAAATATAGGAAATGTAAAGGGGAATCATTGAAAGCAGAAAAAATAACTTGTTTTATCTGAAGACTGTTTATGCAAACATAGCTTAAATTAGGACAGATAAACTTTCATAGTATATGTAATAAAGCCTCATAGAAAAGGATGACTGTGCTTTAATGATACAGTTTCATGCTGTTAGATGTGAATTTTATTCCCTGTGTGATGTTGTGAGTTACTTCCAATTCAAACTGCACAGTATGCAGTGAACTTTGATATTTTGGCAGTTTTTATCTGTAGAATCTTCAAATTACTTGCTTTAAGCAAAAATTCTCTCGCCCTGTCATTTATATTAGGTAACAGATTTCCAGTGAATGGTTTCTTTTTTATTTCTAGTACGAAGTGTTTCATCATAAGAAAATTTCAGGTGGTACATTAGGTTGCAATATATCAATGTGGAATATAACATAATGAGGCCAGAAGAGAGTTGTTTAGAAAAACCTTTTGGATCTTGTGTCCAACTTAGTTGCTATTGACAGCTCCAAGGCTATACATCTGAAATGTCCAAGAAAAAAAAGTTATAAAGGGTAACTGACCCCATGAATATTAAACTTAAGATTCTTCAAATTGCCCTCAATGTTGAGGAAAAAATGCTGAAATCATCATATTCCTTTGGAGCATGGGGGAAGAAGATAAAATATATGATTCTAATTTGGATGCTGCTAAAATAATAACTTATTGGTAGTAATGAACAAATCAAGGCACTAATATTTCAGACTCATGTAAATTAAGGTCTTTTGAAAAATCCATGTAACTATTATTCTGATATAGGTGTTGGGCATCCATTTAGTGTCTGAGACTTTAACATTTCTATCACATTTAATCTTTTCAATCATTCTATGAGGTAAACACTATTAAAAATAAAGAAACTGAATCAAAGGGAGATCAAGACTTTCCCAAGATTAAAATCATGAAACTGAGGAGCTGAGAAGTGTAGATTTCAGCACAGTCAGTGACTCTCCAGAGCCCATGCATTGCTACCAACTTACATGGGAAATATGCTCAGAATTTGCAGGGTATTCTCAAAGATTTTGGATGTGTGTTTCAGGGTAATAGGTCAAAATTCTAGTTTTATGCACACACGTGTGTGTGTGTGATTTATTTTGTTTTTCACAGCTAATATACACGTAGCTCAAAGTCTGGGGCATGATAGATGATTAATAACTAACCATATTATGTATATATTAGGTACCAAGTGATGTTCTTCATGCTTTAAATGAATTAATTGACAGTAACCCAAGGGCAAAGTAATAAATGCAACCATTTTTCTATCTTATGTAAATAAAAGTATTGAAAAGTTAAAAGATTATTTAAATCGTTCAAAGTTGCACAGCTAGTAAATAAGGGTGACGAAATCAGACAGAGCAAAACTAATCTGGCTACAGTTCACAGTATATGATAATGTCAGCCAGTGCAGTTATAAAGTGCAGCTCACCCTGTCAATATTAAACTTAAGATTCTTCAAATTGCCTTCCATGTTGAGAAAAAAAGCTGAAATCATCATATTGCTGTCATCACTGTTATCATGTCTAGGGACAAGTATATTGTTATCTCTGGGTGTATAATATGTAGTTCTCATCAGAAATGCCTGTTTTTCAATATGCCATTTGGATCACAGTGGGAATTAAGTTACGTGGTTCTTTTTGATGCTTCCTGGTTCAACTTACAAACTTGTACATCCTACAATAAATATCACCAATTCTCAGTTAATTCAACAACTCATAGGAAGAGTATAAATACCTTTTCTCATCTGCAACTTTTGCTAATATTTACGCTATTGTTTAAAAATGGATAATACACTTGATGGCAAAGGTATTTGTATATCCTCCATTCATACCTAAGTATTTGCTATGTAACCGCTGTGTATTAGGCCCTATACTAATATGTAGTTGGAGTAGTGAACAATATCAATAAGATCTCAGCCCTCAGGGGTTCAGAGAATGCAACTGGCACCGATTTCCAATTAAAATCCAATGGTAACTTCCATGCAGAATATGAAAAAGACATTCTGTATCTCCATCTCTCCAACTCTCGATTCTTTTAGTATTTTGCTTTTTCCATTACATTTCAAAGGGGAAGATATTACATTTTATGAAAACTTTAAGAATTTACTTCCAGGAACTGGGATAAGTACATTATACAGTAAATACAATCTAATAACAATTGATTAATTTGGCAAATAAAACTGGTTACATGCCATTTATGGTACTTGCCTTTTCTAGAATGTACAGTTCACATTCTAGTTGAGAGACAGACAATAAACAAATGTATGAACAAATTTCTTCATCTAAAATGCGAATAATAATAGTTCTTACTTAATGTGGTTATTATGAGAACTCAGTTAAGAAATGTAAATGAAGATCTTAAGTCAGTGCCTGCATCTAGTATAACTACCTACATATTAGTTATTGACGTCACAAAATTGGATGTTACACTATGTGCAATTTTGGTCCTTTACAAATAAAAATTTAAAACATTATTAACATTAATTTCCTTTTAGAAATTTACTCATGATGTTGGATATATTGAGAGGGATGGACATTTGTGTGTTATATCAAAATAGTATACACACAGTATCATGACTTTTGTTGATATCCCAACAATTTTAATATATCACAAATTTTCTTGTAAGCTTCCAATATCTATAGAGCAGGAAAAACTTTAGTCTCAATGGAAAATTCTATATGCAACAACAGAATAAAAATAAACTGATAATTGCTTTGGTTTTGAAGTTTTAAAAAATTTTCTTTCTAAGATATATATGATTTATTAAGTTAATATAACTCTAACAGTTTATCAACTTGTGTCTCATTTTCATAGTCTGAATTGCCATATTTAAGATAAGTAACCCTTAATTTGTGTTTTTAATTTTATAGATACATCATAAGGAGATAGCAAATGTTCCCTCAGTTTTATTTTTTATAGTGGTTTCAAAATTCTCTGCGATTTTCAGGATTTCAGTTATAAATAAAACATTTATGAACAATTATAATCTTTCTAATAAAACTGTAAAATTGTCTTGATAATATTCTTTTTCACATGAATATGACTATCATCATTATATTAAATTTATTGATACCATTGCCTTTCAGTAGATACTTTGGAGTTTTCTAATTGTGCAAAGCATTGCAAAGCTCAATTCATCTTAGATAATATTTTATTTTTATATTTGATAATATGGTACTGAAATGGTATAATTTAATCCTCATTTCAAGAGAATAAGAAAGTTGTTCTAAGAAAAAAAAAAGCAGGCCAGGAGCAGTAAGTCAGGCCACTAATCCAATCACTTTGGGAGGCCAAGGCAGGCAGATCACCTGAGGTCAGGAGTTGGAGACCAGCCTGGCCAACATAGTGAAACCCCCATCTCTACAAAAACTACAAAAAATAGACTGGCATGGTGGCATGCACCTGTTATCCCAGCTACTTGGGAGGCTGAGGCACGAGAATCACTTGAACCCAGGAGGCAGTGGCTACAGCCTGGGCCACAGAGCAAGTCTCTGTTTCAATCAATCAATCAATAAAGCAGGTTGATGATCTTCGGAAATCATCCAAGTTTTCAAAATTTAAAACTCCTACCTTGATTAGCTATGAATAATTTAATATTTTAAAATTTGTTTCTTTTTTTAACCTATCTAAAATTTGATCAAAAGTATTGCTAACATTGTAGATATTAATCATAAAATCAAGATTTTCTTATAACTCAGAGGAAGATACACAGAACATTACAGCAATAGATTTTTGTATGAGAAAAAAAGATTTTAACTTTTTCCTTTTTCCTTAAGGCTAAAGTATGGCCTCAGCTTTAGGGAAAAGTACATTATCTTTCATGGACAATTACGAGAATTTTCCTCCAGCTTTTGTTTTTTTTCCAAGATCTGTTAATAATTTTGTCAAAAAATGCTTCTAATACGTGTGCATTACAAAGTTATTTTTCCTCCAGCTTAGTGAAGTACTTTAAATTTAAAAGTTTTCTAGTAAATGGCACTATAAAAAATACCAAAAGTATCTCTGGAAGCCAAATAAATTGTTTTTTAAATAAACATGATTATGCTTCATAGAAAAATGTAAATAAGTATATTATTTATATTCTTGCTTTGGTTTTAACTTCTGAAACAAGGCAAGTGCCAAATATTATAGTTCAAATTTTACATTTTATTTATACTCTGTTTTTCACTTTTCATTTTCCCCCTTCTTTTACTATCCTTTTCATGACTACAGTTTAGCTTTCTCTGTTGCAGGAAAAAGTTGTCTTGTCACTATCACACTTTTTATTTTAGCTGTCCCAGTGACTCTATATGTAAATTTCTAGAGAGTAAGACTCACATCTTCGTTTCTCAGCCATTCTACATAGTGTTTTTTTTCACAGCATGTAGTCAAAGTATTGTTTATAGCAATGACCTTATTCTTTCCATTTAACTTAGCTTCCTTCCTCCTCTTCACAAAACAAATCATTATAAAAATTAATTTACCTTTGACATTGGGCCATATAAAGGTTTTCCTTCTGATGTTTTCTGTCCAAATCTCTAATAGTTTTAAAAATAGATCATGTGTGTATTGACATACAAGATTACATACACCCCAGGCACTAAGGGACTCACTCAGATCTCAAACTTAATGCCACCGTGTGGTGAAATTGTGCAATTATGATGAGACACACTGCATTCTCTGTACACTTGCAAAGGGTTTTCATGAATGCCCTGTTGCAAGAGAGGCAGTCAAGAAGTTAAGGTATGATTGTGTGTGTATGTGTGTGTGTGTGTGTGCGCGTGCATACGGGTGATAGGAATGATATTTTAAGATGAGTAGTTCATGCTTATATAGGAAGAAAACAAAATGCCAACTAACTCCTAGAATTTATACCCACCAGTAATTGTCATTAGTTAGCATAGCTTAGTACTCACAAAATGGAAAGCTCTCTTACACTGACATTTTGGTGGCAAAATGTGGTGAAGCTGAAAAATGAAGGAGTTGGTTATATGTTTGCCCGCCCATCTGGCAAAATGTCAGGCTTTACATTGCTATGGCACACATGGCATAAATGTGAAAAAAAAATGTGCACATATGTGGGAGAACTGGTGCCTAAAAATCTGCCTTCCTGCTTAGTAGGAGAATTAATGTTAGACCTTGGTGATGCCACGATGTTTTTCAACTGTCTTAAGTTTATTCTCAGCCAAAGCTAAGCTTTCTGCTTTACTATTGAAAAGGCTTATATAGTTAAGGAGCGTCTTGTAAGGTCTTTAAGACAAAGTATAAAATTAATGAATGAAGGTTATCAAAATAGGTGAATAAAATGACAGCAGGAAGTTACAGACCTATTTTTATCTGGTACTCATTCTTATTCACTCTATAAATATTAATATATTTGCTGTCTACAGCATGAAGATGACCACTGCCAGTTTTATCTGAACCAATTTCTAGAATTTATGCATATTTGGAAAGTATCCAGGTAAGACATTTTACATTTGTTACAAGGCAACTTTCTAATTGAGTTCTCAAATGTCAAATCTCAATATTTTTCAGTTGACTGTAAAAACTGTCCTTTCACTAGGACTGTGGAAGCTATTGTACTTTTAATAGGCATCTCTCTTTGGCAAATTCTGTTAATAATTACCCATTCTTCACAGTCATTCAGATTTATTTGAAGAGCTGCTAACACTTTCCAGAGCATTCTAACATTCATTTTTTTAAAAAAATCTCTGCTTCTGGTTATTACATTTTCAAGGACATGCTTTCCTGATTCATTTTGTGAATTTGGGTTTGCATATATCACTTAAGTTCATTGTAAAACAATTTTAATACTTTGAAGATAACCATCTCTTACTTAATTTGTTTCTGAAACTCCCTGAAAATAAATGGTGTATCATAAATAGAGGAGTATAAATTCAAATTGGAAAACTCGAGTGACAACAAATGAACATTTCAAACTTCATTCTTATATCTAAATGTATGCATGTATTATTTGGAATAATAGATTTATCAGATAGCTAAACTGGGAGTTTGGGTATATCTGCAATTAAGGTTGTTGTGAGCTGAACCAGTAGAAAATGTAATGTGGGAGGTATAGGTCATAAATCTCTAAAGTAAAGCCTTACAACATATGAGCTAAATTTACAATAGCAAAAACATGGAATCAACCCATGTGCCCATCAGTGACTGATTGAATAAAGAAATGGTACCTATACACCATGGAATACTATGCAGCCATGAAAAGGAATGAGATCATGTCCCTTGCAGTGACATACATGGAGCTAGAAGCCATTATCCTCAGCAAACTAACACAGAAACAGAAAGCAAAACAACACATATTCTCTCTTGTAAGTGGGGGCTGAACAATGAGAACACATGGACACAGGGAGCAAAACAACACACACTGGGGTCCATCAGAACTGTGGCGGAGGGAGAGCATCAAGATAAATAGCTAATGCATGTGAGGCTTAATACCTAGATGATGGGTTGATAGGTGCAGCAAACCACCATTGCACATGTTTGTCTATGTAACAAACCTGCACATCCCACACACGTTTCCTGTAACTTAAAATAAAATTGTTTAAAAAATAAATAAAAATATGAGCTAAAAATTTTTTTAATGACTATTTATGTTGGCTAATGATTTTGTGAAGTTATTATACATTTACATGCATTATCTCATCTAATTTTTTCTAAAACTCTGTGATAATTCATACTATCCTGCTTCAAAATCAAAGAAACTGATGCTCTGAGAGGCTAAATAAACTCACCTAAGGCCATTCTGGTCATTAGTGGCAGGACTAAAATCAGATCTGCCTGAAATTTACAAAGGACATTTTCTTTCATTAAACTATTGTGTTTTTCCTTGTGCACTTCTCTGCCCCGCTTTCCCCTAAAAGTATCCACTTCACTCCGTAAAATCATAGAATGGCTAGGACTAGAAAGGACTTAAACATAGTCTAACACAAATTCTCATTTTATAGTTAGTTATATGATTCTGGTACAGATTTCTGTCGTATAACATATAAACAAGGTCTGTAGTTTCCTTTTTCCAAAATAAATCTTTCCAGGGGTGGGGGGACCAGAGAGAGAGACAAACAAGCATGAACCTCAAATATGAGAAGTTTTTCAAAAAGCAGGAAATCCTTGGGACACCAAGGACTATTTTGAAAGACTTGGTGGAGGGTTGTTGTACCTTTTAAGTCATTTCTACCTGGAGGACAGAGAGGCAAGACAAGGCTGTGACAAGAGAGTGAGAGAAGGAGGCTTTCATTCTGTTCTTGTCTTACCCCTGTCATTGCTTGCTCCCTAGCAGACATTTGATGGTCTTGACCAGTGTGTAGTTAGGTGTCCAGAGGGTTAATTCAGGGCAAAGCGAAGAGTAAAGTAAACATGTCTGGGACAGCTTAGCTTCCAACTTTACCCCTCCTTCCAATCCCTGCGCAATGGATTACAGTCTGAGAGGATGCCATCTCCCAGTGCTATTTCTTCTGTGCTAAGGAAACTAAAAACAGAAGCTCAAAAACTTAGCAACCGTCACACAAATATTTAATCCCATAGCCATGACTAAAACCAAGTATCTAACTCTCAATCAGTGCTTATTCCACTTCCATTATGTTCTGATCCTTCCCTTCTTATCTTTATCAAAGGGCATCTAACATGGAGACATTCTCAGCCTCACAAAGGACACTGTAGAACTTTACTTTCTGGGATACAATGCTTCCCTGCCTGCCCTCCTCAGAACAACTTATTGGGTCATCAAAAAAAAAAAAAAAAAAAAAATCAAGCGCTGGATGGCAAGGGCTTTGATTTCAGCCTTTCTCTTTTATGACTCAACTACCTCTTAGAAGTTGAGCAAATCACTTAAAAGCCTTCACTAGTTCCTAGTAGATTTTTTCTATAAAATAGACACAATATCCAAAACCAAAGTGCTGAAGTGGGTACATTCTTGGTGGTACTAATAGTTTTAGGTTGTATATAAAAACACTGCCATTCCCCAAATCTTTAGTTATTATTTACCTCCTCTTTCATTGACTTTTACATATTTCTATGCATTTTGTCTTTGAGCTAAAGTGATAATGTAGAAAAATGAGAATACAGCTACTATTTTAAAAAATGGTGTTTTTTAATGCTGCATTTTTGAGTTGTGTGACTCATGATTCAATTTAATTCAGGAGGTTTCAAGACAAATAAGAAGGTAAAGGCAATAATGTCTGGGAAAATAATTTTTGACCAGTGAGGCTCAGAAGAATTTCTGCTCAAATTGCATGTTTTCTCCCTAAGCACAGTTAAGGCTGGAGCAATAAGAGAAGCTTAGGAAAGAAAAATGCAGCAGTTTGGTGTCAAAGACAACCCCATCTATTATAAATATAAGCCATTAATTCCAAATGCAATTCTCTACAAGGTTTTGCATACTTAATATTTCTTGATGTTAATATATGCCATATCTGCTTATGAATCCCTTTGCAACTTACAGTTTGAATTAAGAGTAGTTTTATATAATGATCAGCCTTTGGGAGGTTTGGTTAATTTATCTTAAATTCTTTGGAGTTCTAAGATTTTCAAATATGTTTGTAGTCTATCAAGTTATAGAAACTTTATAAGGCACCCTTCTGGGATATTTTCAAAATTATGTCAACAATAATCATTGTTATACCATGCCAATGTTAGTATCATGGGCAAAACAAAATTTGTGATAAATGTTTGTGCTAAAGATAATATAAATTTCCCCACCCAATTTTAAACAAAGTTTCTATTTTTTATTTTCCAGACAATGTCTCTTAACTCTCATCAGAAAATATGACTTCCACCTGAAAAACCTATTGAAAACCCAGGTATTGACTTTTGTGACTTTATCCATCAATTCAGTAAGCATTTTTAAAGCATCTACTATTTTTCTAAAACTTTGCAAATTTTGAAGATGACAGAAACGAATACAGCAGAGAATCTACATTTAAAGGCTGTCATTTCAGCATGGAAAAATAGACAAGTAGAAAGACATATACAGTAAAGCGCTACAGCTGCTGAGAAAGACTTGTATGTATATAAGATGCATAAGAAAGGATGATCAGCTTTATCCACTTGAGCTGAATGTTGACCAAATGAGCACTGTATACGTCTCCCATCCAGAGGGGGGCATTGTGAAGGAAGGTAGGGAGCAGGGTTAACTTTTGGCAAAGAACAACATGAACAGAAAAAAGAGTCAGGAACCAGCCTGGTGTGATTAGGAAACTATGACATTTGAAATGGTTGAAGTCAGTGTTCAAAATTAGAGGCTAGAACAAAATCAAATAAAAGGAGCAGACAGGGGCCAAATTATGTAGGATTTTATGGACCTTTTATGGCCAATTTTATGATTTTCTACTTTGTCAGCTGATGACGTGGAACCATTAGGCAGGGTAGTAGAATGACTGATGGATAATTAGAGGGACATTTTGTTAGCCCTAATAGATGAAGAGGGCATGGACAAACACTCTACTATACGGATAATATGAGGGGACAGATTCATAAGAGGTGAAAATGTGCGGTTTACATGATTTGGTGAAATTCTGTGTGCTTAGAATAACTCAAAATTCCTGTCTGCTGACTGACTCTGTGGAAACATCAATTCACCACAATAGTGAAGAGAGAAGATAGCGTGGCAGGGGAAATGATGGATTCAGCACAAGGCTACTAAAATTTGGTTACCTACTGGGCATTGAAGCTGTGATCTCTATTAGGCAGATTATTTCTTATACCTTCTTCTTCCAGGGAAAGTTTAGCATTCCACAGATAAAACATCATGTTATTACAGAATATTGTGAGTCAGGGAATATTTTTTAAACAAATAACTTCTTTCTTTCTGTGAAATAATTGATTCCTGATATACATAAAAGGATATATATCTCAGATAGTAACTATTTGTAATATCAATAAACATGAAATATATCTAAAAATAATAAATTCTATTTATTGATGTAGATACTAAAATCATATATGAATTCCACATAAATATCTAAAGACATGGAGATTACACATACAAGACTTATGTTTCTCTCTAAAGTGCAATCTTTTCACCCTAAATCTATTTTTTCTGCTTCAGCCTGGTCTGAGTCTGGAAGTTTAAAATGTGGAATGTGAAAAGAATCCACAATTAGCTTGTTTTAAATCTCATAAAAGTGTTATGGTTAGTACCCCTAATTCAGCCTTGTGATAGTCATTCTTTCTCAAGTTGAATGTGAAACTTACCAGGTTACTAGGATATATTAAGATTTAACTCCTAGAGTATTTTTGTCTCTTTACTATGTGTAGAAGTACTTTGAGGTTTTGGTAACCTACTTATGAATGAATTTTAGTTATCTAAATGTCTCAGCACTTTCACTATCTTTTTTTCATACACAAATTATTGATAATTTATAATAGTTCTTAATTTCTAAATTCAGAAGTTTGATCTATTACTTACATATAAAGCCTCCCATATTTCTAGTTTGAAAGAAACAATTGACTATTGTAAATTTTTCTAACATGACTTAAAAGTTGGCACATTACCAAAGAAATACTGTCTTTCTATTATCATTGGCAAATTGCAATCATCACTCACAACTAAATTATTTTATAAATAGGTCATGGTGTATGTGATTTTCCAGATGAACTCATTCAAAAACAATGAGCTCTTTAAATGAGATTTTTGCCTATGAAGCATCAATAGTAAATATCTTAGAAATGAGGACAGACTATGATATTATCTGTTCACAATTTTATACTTTCTATTCATTTGACAAGTACATTAAGTAGCATTTCATCATGTTCAGAACAGTATCAACTGGAAAAATAATGTTTTTTTTAATATCTCCCAAACTTGGATTATTACACGTGATTTGAAAAAATAAGCATGCAGCTGAATAAGTCAGACACAAATGTTATTGAATAATATGACTATTTTAAAGCACCAACTATTTTCTTTCCTCACAATTATTATTTCATCATATTTTAGATGATACCCATTTTAGGCCAGGCATTCTGGCTATTACGTTAAATGGCTAGTTTTGTATGTAATTTACAAAGAGCTTTTTCACTGGACATTTTTTTCTCCTTTCTGTTTCATTAATAACCTGAATTACAGGGAATATTTTTGAATTCATTCTGAATTATTAATTTCATAGAAATTGAATAATATGAATTCAATATGAATTTCAGAGAAATTAAGAATGGAAAAAAGAGTATCTTCCCTCCAAGATTTTACTGAATGCTTACTTCATGCAGATTATGAAACTATTTGCTCACTGAAACCAAGAGAAATGGCAGTTCAAACCATACTCTGAAGTTGCCAATGATGTAGTTGGAGAGACAGCATATCTACATAAATAATAGACACAGTGGTGTCCATACAAAGCAAAGCAATATAAAACCAAATCATAGCCGAGGAGAAAGAATCAACTTCTGATTTAAAATTACTTCTTCCTAGTAACCTCTAATACGTTGTCTCCAAAATTCTTTATTAAAATGCCAGTCAGAATCATGGTAGGAAATCCCTACCATGGATAACAAATTTATACTAGAGTCTAGTAACTGTTGAATTTATTGTAAACTAGATGAAACACAGTTGAGTAAAATCAATTCAAACATGCTTCAAAACATGGGGTTAAGCTTCATGAAACATCTACCTGGTCAGAAAATAACTGAGAACCCCTAAGTCCTTCCACCGTCTAGCCCATGACTCAGAGGCTATACCAAGGAGATAACCAGGAGAATATGACATCTCTAGTATTCAGGTTTAAGTAACTCTGTGAGAAAGGCAAAATAATACTTATTTCACACTTGCTTAAGACCAAGTCTAACTGTATTCATCTAGAGAGGAAAGAAAATTCCATATATGAGTAGAAAGAAAGAGGACAGATAGGGATTTTATATTTAGCTTCTTTTAAACTGAAGCTCTCTTGGTTACAAGCAAATCTATTGTTAGATTTTCAGAAGTTCCAACTTCAAACATTATTTAAGCCTAATGGCAGTCTAAGACAAAATTTAAGAGCAGAGATTCCAAAGTCAGATAAATGTATAAGTCAACCACATTAGAGCTTCTGTATTCAACCTTCCTCGAGTTTATATAATTCATCACTAGAGTGAGGATAATAAATATAAAATAATGACATTTTAAATAGTTAATGAAATAGTTATTGTAATGTGCTTAGTATAACGTAGTGACTGGGAGATAAAACATTTTTAAGAAAAGGTAAGTACCTGTGTTACTTTATTGCTATTATTGCTGTTGCTTCTATCACTATCACTCAAATAGAGGATTGTATAGGGTCCAGAAGAAAATTTTCACAAAGCTGATTTGCATTTAGAATATAACATAAGAAAAGGTGGGAAGTGAGCAAAAAGCATAAGAAATTTGGATAAAATGAATAGCTAACAAGGGGCAGTTGCAAGGTTGCAAAAGAAGTCAAAGAAACAAAGTCAATAAAGTCAAAGCAGGGGAAAATGACGCACAATTACAGAACTGAAGCCTACCTTAGAAGAAATAAAGGGCAGATAGAAACTTCTAAAAGTCAAACCTATCATGTATAGAGCACTCTCAGATTTGAAGAAGTATAAAAAAATTTAAAGTAAAAAGTAGATTCTCAAAATAGAAAATAATCACTAGCCAACATAATTTGCGTTGCTAGTAAGATGGAGAAAACTAGAGGGTTTTGTGCAAAGGAATAACATGATATGATATTCTACTGGTGATTTATGTAGTGAATTATATAATACATGAAGAACACACAGTTAAAGATAATAATAGAAAAGGGATTCTTATTAAACAATAAGTTAAAGAATAAAATATTTTGGTATCATATATCTGTTTGCCACTTCATGTCTCCTCTCCTCTCTGTAAAAGGTCTTATTTAATGAAAAGTATTTTGCAGCTTTTCTTGATCATTTCATCACATGGTATATTTAAGTAGAAAAATAAAAAAGATAGTATGCTTTTAAGTAGAAAAAAGATGATATGCTTTAAGTAGAAAAAAGATGGTATGCTTTTCTCCATTGCATAATATAGCAACTTTGTCAAAAACAATTATCCACACATGTGCAGATCTAGTTCTAGACTCCCTATTCTGTTTCACAAATCACATGACTATTCTAATGTCAGTCCACAGTGTTTTAATTACCATATGTTCAAGGAAAGTCTTGATATCAGCCAATATAAGTTCTCCAAAATCATTCTTGTTAAAAAAAAATTGGTTATTCTAGGTATTTAGCTATAATTGCATTGAATATATAGATCAATGTAAGGACAATTGATATTTTAAAAGATTGTATTTTCTAATCCATGAGAATCCAATTTAATGTGATCTATTTCTTCATTACACGGGTTTCTTAAATCATTCAGCAATGTTTTATAATTTAGCATAGAGATTAAGCATAGTTTATTAAATTTATTATTTCATGTTTTTGTCTGATATTATAAATAATATTTTTATATTATTTTCCAATTGTTCGTTAATATGTGGGAATAGAACTTACTTTCATATATTGACTTTATATACTATGTCTTCTTAAAATCACTTTTCATGTCTAAGAATTATATTTTGGATTCCTTAGGACTTCTACATATATAATCATGTCATCTGTGAAATAATTTTGTTTTTTTCTCTTCAGTCTATAGTCCTATTATTTCTTTACTTGCCTTATTATTTAATTCTTGCTTAGAGTCTCCAGTAGGTTTTTACTAGAAGTGGTAAGAATAGAATCCCTGCCTTGCATTCTCTGAGGGAGAATGTTACAGTCTTTTATCATTAATTATAGGGTTATTTGGAGGTTATGTTGTAATATAAAAAGTTAGTTATCTTTTACTAGGTTGGAAAAGTTT